TAAAGAATTAAACAATCAAGGACCACATGGCTGCGATGTTAAAGGAAAAGTATTTGCTGGTAAAAAGTAACTAGTTAGAGTTACTCGGTTACATTCATTACATTACTCATTACAACTTCTACACTAAAAAAAACTGTAACATGTAGCTGTTCATTCAGACTAATGACCGTCACTCTAACCTGGATAAAATGATTGATTTGATTGTGTAACTTATTTTTGGTTTTTGAAACATCAAGTTTGATTTAATCTGAACTAAATACACGTACAAAGGACCCAAAACAAAGTTTTTGATTTCTCTCAATATGTATATATTTATTCATGACCTGCAGGTAATTTTATTGTTTAAGTCACATGTGATTTGTGTTTTGCACGCTGCAGTCAGAGCACGTGATCAAGTCCAAGTCCCAAACCGTGAAAGAGCACCATTTCCATCCATGACAATGTTTTCAGATTATTTGTGTTGTTTGAGCAAAGACATGTTTATCAGCATCCGGTCGCTGTGTGACGTGATGACATCAGTGCCCGCGCAGCACCCTCCATGTTCTGTGTGTCTGAATAAATGGCCGACTCTGCAGGAGTTATGGAGTGCCAGCAAAGGAGAAGATTTTGTCAAGTGTTTCTCCAATGCTAAGCTAGTCCATCAAGATTTTTAAACTAAGTAAAACGCAAGTGTTGCTGCACAGGGATGGCGAATATCCCCACAGGTTATGGGCCCAGTCAGTTAGGGCACAGGTGGAACAGACCTTTATTCAAAGGTGAAGAGAAAAGTTTGGGAAGCATGGTTCCTCGTGCACATGGAACTTTGTAGTCTCAGGGAGACCATCACAGAGACGCCAGAAATCGACGGTGAAGATGGAGTAGCTCTTGCCGAAGATGAGGCAAAGAATGTTGAGGCGTATGCGGAACTTGTACAAGTTTTGGACAACAAAAGTTTATCGTTAGTAATGAGAGAAGCTGAACGAGATGGAAGGAAGGCCTTGGTTATTCTGCGAAAGCATTACGTTGGTAAGGACAAGCCAGGACAAGCCACTCTGCAAAGCTAGCGATGAAACAATTATCCAATACATAATTCGAGCAGAGACTATTTTCATGTCATTAAGGAGAGCATATGAGCAAATTAGTCTTGGACTTATGATTGCAATGGTAGTGAAAGGGCTACCCGAGTCAAATGAAGTCGTGGCTTTTGGCAAATTTAAGAGTAGAATGCGCAGCTATGAGAGTACAGAGAAATATAGAAGAGGAGACGTGACCGAGGACAACGTGATGAGGACAGGAGGGGCAATGAAAGCGCGCTGGAGAGGCCGAGGAAAGAAGGTGGACTTGGTCGACATGGAGCGCTGTGCTAGAAAAGAGGAGACATGGCACGAGCATGCCCCAATGACGTGCAACAGAGGAGAGATGATCAAGCATGGGACACACCGCAGCGAGGAAAAGGGCACGGTTGTGATCAAATCAAGAAAGCAGATGAACAGACAGATACACAGTCATTTTTCTTTAAGATGAGTGACTGTCAAGTGCTAGGAGAAAACAAGAAAGGGCTCATGGTTGGCTGTGGGGCCACATCACATATGATCAACAATGCCAACAGGTTCAAAACGGTGGACAAGAGCTTCAGACAAGAGGACCACATGATAGAGATGGCCAACGGAACCGAGGAGAGCGGAATGGCGAAGATGAGGAGAGACGCCGAGGTCTACTTGCTGGGACGACGAGTGAGAAGGAGACTCAAGCACGTGCTCTACATCCCATCATTCCCACAGAACATCGTTTCTGTCAAGGCAGTGACAGGCAACGGCGCAGAGGTCCGTTTTAAAGAGCTGGCTCATCAACAGGGACGGTAGAAAAATCAAAATGGATGTGTACGGTAGGCTGTACTACCTTAGCACAGCTGAGAGAGAAAAGGTTGATAAAGTATATGGTTGTCATGATAGTTAGAGAATGCGGTTGAAGGGATGTCTATTAAGGGCAAAAATGATAAATCCAACCAAAATTGTGAAATATGCACACAGGGTAAAATCCACGCAAAGCAGAAACAGACAGGCAGATGCAAAGGCTACCTCCATACCTGAGCTAGTGCACACAGACTTGTGTGGGCTGATAGAAGCAGCAGATAAAGATGGGTACAATAGCATTTACTGATGATTACAGTGGGATGATTTTTCCCTATTTTCTGAAGACAATACGCTATGCTGAGCAAGCTACAGAAAAATTCATAGCAGATTATCCTCCCTATGGGAAGATTAAGTGTAATAGATCTGACAACAGTACAGAGTTTAACCGGGCAGGAATTACAGTCCTTACTTAGGAGTAATGGGATAAGGAATGAGACAAGTGCACCCTACCCAACCCAGTAGAACGGGGATGGAGAACATTACTCGAGGTGGCATGATGCATGCTATTGGAGAGTAACCTCCCAAAGCAATTATGGACGTATGCAGGGCAAACCACAGCTCAGATTCATAACAGGTGTTACAGTAGTTACTATGTTTTTACAGGGAAAACACCCTGTTTTCACCCAAAGTGAAAAATGTTGTGCTCCAAAAACTACTTAAAGTATAAAAGTATAAAATAACCTTTAAAAAAAACAGCCAGATGCCGCTATATGAACTGAAAGCTCAATATTTGGACTATTTCTATAAATTCTGTGAGATAGGGCCAAGGATGAGGGACGTCTGGTTGGTCTCCGTCTCCCGATACGCTCTCGCCTGTGTCCGACCTTTCAGACATTTCAGCATGTTTTTCTGAATCCCACATTGTAGCATGGCATAGACAATTCACGTTAGCAGTTTGAAGAACACCTGCTGGCTTCTGATGGTTTCCTTTAGCTAACCAATGAGTGTTTGCGTTCTATGACTCATCCAATCACACTAGTTTTCACTAGATGTGGGCGGAGCCAATGATCTGCATTGGATGGAGCACATGACGGGAAATAAAGATTTAGAAACATTAAACCGAAGCCAAGAGGAACGAGTAACGATTGATTTAAAAATGGAAGGAATAGAAAGAACAGATACTGGTGTGAAAATGAGTAGAAGTCAGAAGTAGGAAGAAAAATAAGTAATGGAGTAAAGTATAGATACCTAAAAACTGTACTTAAGTACAGTAACGAAGTATTTGTACTTTGTTACTTGGCACCTCTGGTTGTTTGTTCGGAGAGTAATGGAAGCTGGCAGGTGAAATTAATTTTACAAAGAAGTGAAGTAAAGGAGGTTTCCAGAACTGCCAGTATGTGAAATGTTTTTTTTTTTATTATGGGTTATACTGTAACTGAGTACAGTACAAAATTAGATATGTTTTTGTTCTTGTTTCCTAGTATACAGTAGAGCAGGGGTCTTCAACGTTTTCTAATCTAAGGACCCCAAACTGATGGCGAGATGGAGCAGAGACCCCCTAATAATATATTGTATGAAATAGTGTTCTATCAAACTGGTCCTATAGTCACTCTATTACAGATGGAGTAATGTAACTAAAGTAATCCCTCCCTGGGATTAATAAAGTATTCCTGATTCTTGGTTGATGGGACAGGTGTTGTGAATGAAACGGTGCCCAGCTTGAAAGAGCTCCTGTGTGTCTCTGAATGTGAGCATTGATGACTGAAAGACATCTTCTGCATCCATTTATCTGTTTACTGCAGTCTGTTGGATTCATGTTTATGTGGATTTAAACACATTTCAATTAGTGGAAAGAATTGCAGGGGGGAATATAAAAAAAGTCTAATAAACCAAAACTTTCGCGACCCCCATGCAGTACCTCTGTGGACCCCCTAGGGGTCGCAGACCCCCTGTTGAAGACCTCCGCAGTAGAGAGAGCAGTAAACATTTCTTTGAGTGGAAGTGTTAAGCACATTTGTCGCTGTGTGACGTGATGATGTCAGTGCCCGTGCACGCACCCTCCATGTTCTGTGTGAATGAATGGCTGACTCTGGAGGAGTTATGGAGGCCAGCCGACGGAGAAGATGTTGTCCAGTGTTTCTCTCATGCTAAGCTAGTCCATAAAGTTTTTTCTCGGTGTAACCTAAGTAAAATGCATGTGCTGCTGCGCAGGGATGGCGAATATCCCCACACACTAAATTGCTAACGTTAGCTAGCCAAAACCCCTCACTCATTCAGCTGGGCTACATCCTAATTTAATTTAATTCTAATTTAATATCATATTGGAGATTTTATCATACCTGATTTGTTACTAATAAAACAAAGTAAATATTACATGCATGTATATTTTAAAACGATATACCAAAAGAGTTCAATTTTAAACATAGCAGATAACATGTTTTAGTTGATTTTTATTTTTTAAGAATTTCTGTTTTCTTTTGACATAATTTTCCAATCAAATCAATTCTTGTTCAACTTTCATTTAAAAATTATTCCTAAAATCAGAGGTCAGTCCTCTTTACAGAAGTTATTGTTGGTTTTATTCTGTTGTAGAATAATGACAGTAAGAAAGACGAGTCAAACGCCATCAGAGGAGCAGCTGTTGTGCAGCTTTGTCCATAAAGCATCTGTTCAGAAGAGTTGGTAGCAGGTTTCTCTTTTCTTCGGAGGATGTTACCTGATAGGCTACTCTGTTTTGACACCAGGTGAGATACAGTGAAGGTTTGAGGCTATTTTCCATAAAAGATTCAACCCCTGAAACACTCCCTCAGTCAACCTACAGCCTTCCTGCCTGTTGGAGTCCTTCCAAATAACGATTGTTGTGGAGATTTTTAATTTAGGCCTGGATCACCTGCAGGTAACGACATTTTTGCTTTTCACTCGATGTTTTTATGTTGTTTTGATGACAAAAGCAACTGAGGATCTATTTAGCCGTCTGCTTCAGCTAAAGGCTATTAACTTTATCTAGAATTAGTAACTCTGAAAACATATACGCGTTTCAAATACATCTGAAACGTCTTAAACCTGTCGAATTACAGCTAATAATTCAGCTTTTTATCATGAGGTTTGTTATCCTGGGAAATAACATTACAGCAGTTTTTTTTTTTTTTAAATCAAGTCAATCAGAGGCTGAAGTTCCAGATAATCCAGAGCGAGGATCAGCATGGCGCCCCCTGCTGAAGACCGTTACTGCTGCCGGTTCCAGCCCAATGCCTTTGACCCCTCCCGCTGCAGCTCGTGCCTGCGGCCGAATCATATGCACCTCAGTGGCACCGCAGTGGAAAATGCTTCAGAACTGGACAATCTCCATGAGCAGGTATGCCTGATCTACAGCTCAGCTTTCATTCATCTAAGATTTCAGCATAAAAACAAAGAAATTAATCCCATTTATCAAATAGAATTAGTTTACATTATAAGCTTTAGGGGAAACTTTAAATCCATTAGACAAATTCAGATTTACTGAGTCCCTCTGCTCTGGATTGATGTTCACATTATAGTCTTTCTATAAAAGTATTCACGCCCTTTGAGCCCGGCCATATTACAGCTATGCATGTTTATGTATTTGTTTTAACAAACATCTTGAACAATATACAAAATATGACCAAAGCAGTAGTAGTGTTACTGCTCAGTTCAAAATAAAAGACAAAAAAAACCAACAACAAATTGCCTCAAACATACTGGTTCTAATGCGACTGATCATATTTCGTGCTTAACCTCTTATAGTGAGAATTAGATTTGACAGTATGTGTCCTGAAATAAACTGTCTTTAGGAACTGCAGTTCACCTGTTCTTCACTCACTTTCACCGTCTTCTGAGATATTCACATTCCCAACATAATTAATGAAAGAATTCCAGATAGACTCAACAGGTCCTGATTACCCTTTAATATTTACATCATTTATTCCAGAAGGAGAACAGAAAACATCTGCTGCAGCCGTTGGTTTATAGTCGGTCTGTTTTTCCAAAACATTGATGCACATCTCTTCGCATTAAGCAAACTTAAGTTTATAAAAACTCCTTCATTTCTTCTGTAAGTATGTCTGAGTTTGGTTCATAAAGATTCTAAATCATTTGAAGTCTTTTGTCTTTCCAGACTTTGAATGTTGGATCAGTTCTTCCAGGTACAAAAAACTGGTTTCCCCTCTGAACAAAGACAGACAATTTCTTTCATATTTCTTTTTACATCTCTTCATACTCGTATCATGTTTATTATGATACAGATTTTTTTTAATATTCCAGAAGTTTTAATATTGAATTTGAATATAGATATGAAGGGAGGGTTCAATTTCAATCCTGAGTCTCCATATTAGTCCAATGTGGAGAATGATTACTTTAATAGAACATCATTACTGAACTTCCTGTTGGTCCATAGGAAACGTTACTGGACTTCCTGTTGGTGCATAGGAAACGTTACTGAACTTCCTGTTGGTCCATAGGACACGTTACTGGAC